ACATTGTGCGAATGCACTTTTGGGCAATGTTCCAATAGTAGCCGGTGATTGCTCAGTCATCCCAGTATCCGTGACATGCTTTTCATACCAAATTCCCATGAAACTTTTATCGTCTTATCGTCTTCGCGTTGAATTTGTTTTTTTTTCTTTTTTTTTTTCCATTAAATCTCGTAATCGTTTCCGTGATTCGAATGTCCCCCTTTAAATAAACTCGAATCGCTTTGTTCTTTTTTTTTTTTTTTCTTGCAAACAAGTGAGCGCGAGTCGTACACTACAACTTTATTTACAGTTAAGACTATTTTTGACGATTAATCGCCTAATATGATTGCTGTTCGCAAGGAATCGTAAAAAAGTATATCTCGAGCAATGAAATAAGGAATGCGTTCCGGATAATTCCTTTTTTTTTCTTTTTTTTTTTTATTTTTCATATGCCTTTTTAATGCATCTTAAAATATTTCCAAGAAAATCATCCGATAAACGTTCTCCTTTACATTCATAATCTAAATTCTCTCATTCGAAGAATATCATCCTCTTTGCCTCGTGAACACTTTCAATTCAATTTATTAATTATTAGATATTTCGCTCGATTTTTCACTAATCAATTACACTAATCGATCGAATATCCCCAATTTCAATAATATACTCATAGCTCATAATTGATCGCTTACAGATTAATTTAATTTGGGGTCGAATTTTTCTCTGAATCACCTTCAAATTCAATCATCCTCGATTTTCCTCTTTTGTCTCGATTATCGAAAATCGAGATTTCTAGATTTTTAGCTAAATGAACCGACACGCGTTCTCGTTTGTGAACGCCTCGATCTTTTCGATCTTCTCCCGTGCACACGTTCCACAACGTGGAAGGCCTGCTGTTTGTCAATCAATGGCCACAAATCGTGTAAGCAAGTCTCAAAATTGCTCGTGGATCGATATAATTATGTCGTGTATAAAAATAAATTGGAATTGGAAATAGAAGGAAACGCGGCGATGCGTGATTGTGACCATTCGAGAGTTGAATTCTCGACCAAGTTTAGGAATTGTGTTTTAAAATTAGAGACGCTTTTAGCAGATCTTGGAGGCATCTTGAGGCGTCTCCTTTCCAGTTTTTTTCAGAAACTCATTCGTATTCGTGTCTTCAAAATTTTTTACAACCCTGTCCCTGTGGAAGAATATTTCTTTTCGATTCTTTTGCATTCTTTTTTTCTTTTTCTTTCTATCTTTTGAGACTTTTCTAAAAAATTTCTGGCATTCGTTCGTTGAAAATTCCTTCCGTTATTTTTAGTAAAGGTTCCCATTTCCCAGAGAGTGAATTTTTAGAATCGGAGGATTATTTTTTGATAAATTTAAAAACTACGTGAAAAATTTTCAGGGCGCCCGAGCGCTCGATTATTATATTCTCAAAGTGTTTCGGCTTCCGCCCACCCCCTTCCCCGCGAGATCCCGAATTCGGATACCACCGTCGTCGTTTCCAATTTCGAGAGCACGAGCACGAGATCGATAAGTGCAGCTGACCGTGCAACAATCGTAACGAAACAAATTGGCCGGCTTTTGAAAGCTTATGTGTCAATTACAGTACGGTCAGGTTGTTTCAATTAAAGCTTAACGACTTTATCCGTTACTTCCGCATACGAGCCGATGTTTTTTCAAGTGTTCAAATCCTTGTGACGCTTTTTCAAGTGTATATCCTCCGGTTTTGAAAGGGGAAGATTGGATTTTTGCCCGTGTAAAAACTCCTCCTGTGTCCGTGAGGCGCACGAGTCTCTTTTC